CTCATACGTCATCCGCCCGGAGCTGCTTCTGTGTACAACTGCTGGCGCAAGCTACATTAAAGTGATTATTACGTTTTGAATATGGATATTTTTCTTACAAAAATGCATCAATTCGCTACAGAAGGCCTTTGTTCACCCCCCGGAGCCGTGTGAGACACTTTTTTTATGGATGGGCGATTTTTATTTCACTTCTTTTGGACTGATGCAATGCAACACCCGCTGAGTGCCATTAAACAGCTTGAAAGATCAAAGACCATTTTTAACATAACTCCGACTGGATTCATCTGAAAGAAGAAAGTCATGTACACCTAGGGATGCCTCGGGGGTGAGTAAAACACAGCCTAATTTTCATTTTTGGTGAACTAACCCTTTAAGTTTTGCCGCAACGCCATGTTTCCGAGTTCACCTCGAGTCTGTGACCGTCTCAAAACTTCAACCAGCCCACAACTCTGCATCTTCAGACAACGGCGAACCATTGGCTTCCCAAGACGTCACTTCGAACAACAATTGGACTTCCAGCCAATCAACAAACTTGGGAAACCCCTTTCTGCAAAGACAACAACAAGGGAACCCCCCTAAACAAACAATGCAAGTACCTCCAGATTCTAGCTGAACTGGGGCATTTAATATAAATTTTAACCTCATTGAGGAACTCAATGCGAGGGTTAATTAAATGATTGATGGTTGTTCAGGTCTAAGCAATTGCACATATTGCTATAAACTTGGGATTTTCTCTTAAACTAATTATTTCCTCACTTTCTCTCTTTCTGCAACTTGTGTGAATGCATGTGTTCATGTGTTAGATTAGTTTATATGTCTTAGATTTATCCAACAAAGCCTTATTTATATTGAAAAGAAAAGTATCTTGTGTTTTGTGCTTAAAAGTTAATGTCTTAAACTGCCTATCTTGTTACTGTGCTAATAAATAGTGTTTTCACTATACTTTGGATATTAATATCCATTGCAGAGTTGATGTTATACGGCTCATTCAATGAATCGCTGGCTGACTCAGTGATCAGCCGTAAAACAGTGATTCTCTCCAAATCCCCTATAAAATCATAAATGATACCCTTTGAGTGAAACTGACCCTTTCCCGTACACATTGTTTTTCTGAGAAACATGTATGTGAACTGAGATTGTTTCCTAAATATCTGCAAACATATTATGGTATTTTTAGACTTTAGTACAGTGAAAAAATTACATACAGCACCTTTGAATATACTTTTTTTTTTTAGAGTAATTCTAATATCTAGCAATGGGAAATTCTATTTTCGGAATGATTTCTATTTCTTTGATGATGCAGTTGACAACTCGAGTTCTGACTGTTTTGTACAATATTAAAATGTTTTAAGTTCGAATATCATTTTTGTGTGACTTTATTAGCAATAATGAAAGAGACAATGGATAATTTAGATCAGATCTTTAAAATAACAAAAAAAAAACAAGAATGTTCAAACTGTGAACTGTATGATCAAACAAGTGTATTCCATGACAAAGATTGTGTCACTGAGCATGTTTTGAATCACTTTATAATTGTTTATTCATTTCATTATGCACATTTTGTTGCCGGTATGAAACAGCAGCACGCTTGCGCATGTATTGCATTTATCTGTTAAGCAGTCAGGCAAAAAGCAGAAGGATGTGCAGCCAGACGATCATTATCACAAAATAAACACTGACAAGATAATACAACAGATTCCAATAAACTACATCAGGGAGCCTTGAAACGGTTTTATTGTACATGAGCTGAAATTGTTTTATTATTTTATTAGGTTTAGTTTTATGATGTTTGAAATTACTTTATTATGTGAGAAGACGCAGTGCGCAGTGAGACATGAAACTAACTTAATGCAGGATGTAACGATTGACTTTATTCACCAAGACTGCGTTAAAGTGATCAAAGGTGACAGTAAAGACATTTAAAATATTACATCTAATGAATTTCTAATAAATGCTGTTCCTTTGAACATTCTCTTCATCAAGGAATCCTAAAAAAAAGTATCACGGTTCTTTAAATAATATGAGTAAGTTTCAACTGGATGTTTCTTGAGCAGCAAATCAGCATATTATTATGATTTCTGAAGGATCGTGTGACACTGAAGACTGGAGTAATGCTGCTGAAAATTCAGCTTTGATCACAGGAATAAATTACATTTTAAAACATATTCAATTAGAAAACCATTATATTAAATTCTAATAATATTTCACAATATTACTGTTTTTACTGTATTTTTTCAATCAAAATGCAGCCTTGGTGACACTTTTGAAAAGAAATATATATATATATATATTTCTTATATATACACAAACACACATATGTATGTATGTACGTATGCATTTATACCACTATATTCCCTTTTCTTAAAAGACCCCATAACTAAACACACACACACACACACACACACACACAACACAGCAAACATCAATTTAAAAATACATCAGTATACGCTCTATCAGCAGCAAAACACACACACACACACACACACACACACACACGCACACACACTCGTGCGCGCACACGCGCACACACACACACACACAGGAGGCAGCAACCCTTATCTTGTCAGGCTGGCATGATGCCAGTGGTGGCTTCCCGCCTGTGCCATCAAATCAGTCCGGGTGAACGGAGACACACACACACACACTCAAATACTGCAAAACAGAGCACAGGGTGGCATCTCACAGTGTGAGACGCTACCAAACACACTAAGTCACACTGACAGGACGTGTCTTTACAGCACACACACTGTAGCTCTCAAAAGGTTATGCAACATAATACGCCTCTCTCACACACAATGCATCTTATACAATCTAACAGCCTCTGCGAAACATTACCTGATTCCTATTTTTGTCCGATTTGCCATTTTGAATTCAGTTACTGGCTTTGGAACGTGCTTTATAACTTAATTTGTGCTTTGGTTAATGTATGGTCATACAATCACATGTACAGCAAAATAAAACATTAATAAATAAAAAGTCCACTGCACCAGCTAACATATATTATCTAAGGTATCTATATTTGATTCCCGTAGCTTAGCAACAGTATTTCATAAACCAGCTGAGCAGGAAGTCTGACTAGCAGTCATTAAGGAGTGACTGTGCTGCCACATATCACTTCCCATGTTCCTCTGTTCAAGCACTAGAGCAGTGGAGATTTCTGGACTCACTCACCAGAGAGAGATTGAGTGAGAGCAAAAATGTCAAGTTGGTCATATCATAATTAATTTAAATAACTTATTTTTCCCACTAAGGTTTATTAATTAATAAACTTAGTCACATTTTTGTTCTTTTCCACCCTCTCTGAGCCGTAAATTTAAAATAACAAGTTTTTCAGATTGTCAAACACAATCTCTTTGCCCCAATTGGGGCAACCCAATTGTCTAACCAATGGATTGAGTTTGGGGCGACCCAATCACTTTGTCTAAACTATGGACTGAGTTTGGGGCGACCCAATCACTTTGTCTAACCTATGGATTGAGTTTGGGGTGACCCAATCACTTTGTCCAAGCAATGGTTTAATTTGGGGCAACCCTATCAGTTTTTCCAACTAATGGTGTAAGTTTTGGGCAACCCGATAACTTTGTCCAACCAATGGCGTGAGTTTGGAGTGACCCAATCACTTTGTCTAACCAATGGATTGAGTTTGTGGCAACCCAATCACTTTGATTAATTAATGGCTTGAGTTTGGGGTTTGGAGTGACCCAATCAATTTGTCCAACCAATGGGGTACGTTTGGTGCAAACTTTCAGTTTGTTCAACCAATAGGCTTGTTCGACTTCATGCAGCGCCACAAAGATCGGCTGCCACCTGACAAAAGCAATGCATTCTGGTTAGAAAACTTGTCTGACTTTGATTGGTGCTGCAGCCGCCTTGCGATCACGTGCCATTAAAGTACAGCGAAAGCAAAACGAGACCACTCGCCTAGGTCAGGCGCTGCAGTTGCTCAAAATTGGCGGCGAAAGCCTTGATGACGAGTTGTCTTCAAAAAGTAGTCTTCAGGGAAATAAACTTCTAGGTTAAAATATTAACACCATTGAAGAACGTTTGATGAACCCTTCTTTTTAGAGCAAAAACATTAGCAGTACAAACCTCATGCCTTCAGTAGATTTGTTCTGGTAGTTGCAGTAGAGCTGTGGAGTTCCCAGCATGGCCTCTGTGAATACGGCCAGAAAACCCAGGCTCTCTACGAACAGAACTGAGTCCAGTAGCAGATACGTCACATAGACGGCCAGCACCGTGAACACTAGCACACACTGCAGGTAATCCACAAAATGACTCCAAGACCAGAAGTAGTTCCAATCAAAGTCTAGAATTCAGAAAGAAAGAGAGTACACATTAAAAATAAAAAAGTACTACAGCTTATATTGGTTGAAAGGAGTCCAAAAGACTTTTAGGAGAACATCTGAAAGGCAGTATTCTCAAAATAGACTAATTTTTTATTTAAACATTTGATATATATATATATATTATATTTACATATTCAATTTTGATCATTTTGACTGCCAGTCTTTATCAAGTTCTTCCTTTCAACAATATATTTAAAAGAACACTGAAACATTGGACATATACAGTATGCATGAATTATTCAAAGGAATGTATTAGTAGGGATGAAGAGTTAAATCAATGTCAGATCATCAAGTTCAGACCACAGACCCTCTTAAGACAATGGTTTGCAGCCATGCTCTGACAGGATCAGCCAGCAGGGAAAAAAACTATGCTAAATGCAAACAAATAAAAAATTTATATGATCAAAAATACAGTAAAAACAGAAATATCGTGAAATATTATTACAATTTAAAATAACTGTTTACAATATACTTTAAAATGTAATTTATTCCTATGAGGCAAAGCTGAATTTTCAGCATCATTACTCCAGTCTTCAGTGTCACATGATCCGTCAGAAATCATTCTAATATGATGATTGCTGCTAAAGAAACATTTCTCATTTATTATCATTTTTAAAAACAGTTGTGCTGCTTCATATTTTTGTGGAAACTGAACAATTGACAAAACCACACAAGCTAAGAGACGTGCAGTACACATGGTTTTTCCTGACCGCAATGGGTTTTGTGCAATGAATTATTGGCTGCCGAGAGCATGAAACCGTCAAAATTTAATTTGGTACGATCTGCAGTTTCGGTACTGTGTTGGGTGACCACACATCCGGAGTGAAATCTGGGTCCTAGAGTAAAACCAGTTCTAAGACTGTAAGACCCCCTCGAATAAGTCCTTTTTCACGATCATCCAGTTCCCAGCACACAAGCCTTTCAGCAGGGATGAGTCTGACTGGATTCTGACCTAAAATAATCCACTTTCGCCAATTATTTTGGCCTCGTGTCGATGGAGGCTGAACTCGGAGAACTCATAAGCCTGTAAGTCAGCTCTCCACCCATCCGTCGGTGGACGAGAAGAGCATATCTAATCAAAGCACGCTGGGAGCTTCAACAACGGTTACTCTCATAAAGCGGCACTGGAAATGTCGAAGCAACAAAGTACAAGCGGAGGCCAAAACCGAAGCATGAGGACCTGTGGGACAAAGCTGAAAGAGAAAGAACAGAGTCCAAAGCACTGCTATGACGGGTCTAGATGGACTGGAGCGGGAAAAACACACATTCAGTGAATAAATGTAGGGCTGGATTAGGAAAACACGATTCCAGCAATTCATTGCTTGGTGCGTGAATCTCTTCGGATGCCAGCTATCCTCACAAAACCCAATCAAGAGGGGGCGGCACAGCTTAGATACAAGTGTGTTTGGGTAATCTGTTTGTTTGGGTAGAGCGTTTTACATCCAAAACTCTGCCTCAGTAACTGCAATCTTTGTTTGCTCCATTACTTGCACTGTTTGCTAAAGTCCTTTTTGAACAAAGTTTGAACAAATGTATATATGGCGATGTATATAGCACTGCCCACAAAGAGAACGCTGCCAAAATAAGCTGCTTCCTATTGATCAACATGACAAACTCTTGTGCCGAAATTCAATAAACTAGAAGTCAATGGGAAACCTCTTTGCAACCAGAAGTCCATTGAGAAGACTATTTTTCACGCCGCACAATTTTGTCATGCAAAAGTAAACGTGACTGCATCATAAACACTGTAAAATCTGACAAATAGTCGGCGCCATTAGCCTAGTGGGTAGTGCGCCGACACAGAGCCGTTGCGCTCCGGGCTTCCCAAGTTCGAGTCCTGGCTCGTGGACCTTTCCCGATCCCGCCCCCCTCTCTCCTACTTCGCTTCCGGTCACTGCTATACTGTCCTATCAAAATAAAAATGCCAAAATAAAAAAATAAAAAAAAACTGACAAATGAAATATTAGTCAGAAAAAAGATGGAATAGTTTAATCAAGCCTTTAGACAAATTGAGCAAAAACATGCAATTTTGTGCAGTTACTGATATTTACATGGCCAAAAAGTAAGATAAAATTCTGATAGTTTGTATATAAAAAATCTATGAGATCTTCATAACATAAAATGGATATAAATATCAGTTGTCACTCAATATCTCCCAATAATGTCTTAGTAAAATGATATTTAAGGGCTTAGTTATGAATTTATTTTAATAATTTAATTGAATTCATAATTATTAGTCATTAAATTAAACAAAATAATTAAATGATTACATTTAAAATGTAATTGAACTTCTTTTATATAGTTTATAAGTTTAATTTAATTCAAAATAATTGTTTTATTTGGTTTTAAATAAATAAAACAGCATTTTAATAACATTTTATTAAGTAAAAATGTAATTAAATAAATGTAATTACATTGCATTTAAAAAAAATTTTTTTTTAAACTAGATAGACAAAACATATAATGCGATGCAATACAACATGATTTATCATGATTTTTATAAAAATAATGTCTGGATAATCAAGTAAACCTAAGTAGCTTCAGTCCAGTAAGTGTCATCTTGAAGCCAAAGTTAAAGTCAAAGTTCAGGATTAATAAATAGTTATTACCCAGTTATTGTAATCAATATAATAAACACATAGTATGTTGTATAAAAGGATATACAACAAATACTGAATAAATATTTATTCTGTAACACTTTACAATAAAGTTTCCATTTGTTAACATTAGTTAACTATATTAGTTAACATAAACTAACAATTAAAATTACTTCTAAAGCATTTATTAATCGTAGTGAATTTCGAAGCGTCTGCCGCTTTCAAATCTCGAGCTCGTTACTAGGATTGATTCTGATTGGCTGTCAATGTTTGTATCGTTCATCAGCTGGAAAAAAATCGTTCTGAAAGTGATTCCAACTATATCGTTTCTCTGTGCCTTTATCGTTGTAGTTGTGGTGTGGACTCTGCTATTCTTTAATATTGAGAACGATTTTAGAACTATATCTTTATCGTTATCTTAATAGTTATCGTCCGCTGGTGTGAACAGGCCTTAACAACGAACAGTTCTATTTTGAACTAAGATTAATAAATACGGTAGCAAATGTATTGCTTAATGTTAGCTGAAGTTTGTTAACAAATGGAACCTTATTGTAAAGAGTTAAAAAAATGTTGTGCTTAATTGTCATGAAAATTGTGTCAAAAACTCCCAATGGTCTTCATTTTCGAACACTTGAATTCTTTCTTGACGGGTTTCATGAGATTGACCTGTAACGGTTTGAGATGAAACTGCGATTAAAGCAGCTGTTATCTGAGCAGTAAAATGTTATCACACTGGAGAAATCAGTCTAACAACACGAGAGCCGTTGATTTGAGGCTGGCAGACGCACCGTCGGAGGAGAACCAGGGCCAGTTTATGACATTTCAAACGGATTTATTGAAGTATTGATAATTAACGACAGTGGCATTTCAGATGACATTTTACAATCAGATCAATTCCTGTGCTTTTGTCTGCGGCGTGACAGAGAGGACAGGGAGTCTGTGTGAGACAACATCTTCTAGCTTGACAGAAAGATTATGAAAGAGCAGAAGACATTTTCCAACAGAAAACAGAGATCCCAAGAGCGTGACTTCTGTGATATTTTCACTGGAAGACTGGTCAGGACTTTAGTCAGTGTTTCAGATATAGTAGATGAACTAAGTTATCAGTAACTATAGTGTCAACATAACTGTCCATCCAACGCTTCTTTGACTTTAAAGTACCTTCTTCTGAATCAGCACTTCCTTTCAGAACTATGAGGAATTCACCAGTAGACTGAAGCGAAAAATACTGCTTTGTATGAACAGCTATGTAGTCAAATCCTGTCTTAAGTAATGGTGCCAGTTTAAGGCCAAAGCTGTGTGTTGAACAGTGGAAGACAGGGTTGGGTTGAAAGGTGCAATAGTGGCTTTTGTAAAATAAATAAATAAAATAATTTATATTTATTAAAAAAAAATTATTTAATGCCAAGCGTCCCAACCTGTGGGACGCTTGGCGCTCTTTTTTGTTGTTGTCCTTTTTCTCTATCAAATGTTTTAGTAATCATCATAAATTATATATCGTTTGAAAGCTAAGAAGCCCAAGATTCATCCTATGAAAACCATTTTAAAATCGAATATTGCTTTACCATGGAAATGGTACTTTAAAATGTTTTTAAACATTAGCGGGTTGTCTTTTACAATCAAAACTTTTTATAATCTTGACAAAAAAACATATAACTGGAAAGGTCTAAGTCTCAGGATTCCATATTTGGTGGTTATTTTGTGATAGAAGCAATATTTACAGAGAAATTTCAACATATGTGACAGAAAAATGCATTAAAAAAATTCAATGGAGTTTGGATGGCACCCGGTGGCTGTTTGTGGTATAACGCCCTAAATAACATCTCACAGAAACCTCCATTTTTTTCATATCAACTTCAAATTTGGAACATAACTTATTTAGACAGAAGGCTTCAATTTTATACCAATTTTAGAGTAAAACCTGTTGTGTAAAATATTTATTATACATAAAATAAAATGAGTACAGTGTATTTTCTTTACAATAAATGTAAACTTCTATAACTTTTTGATACTTTATTTATTTTTTTTATTCCACTTTTGCCATAATCTGCTGATTGTCTTCTTTAAAAAGAGACCAACCTTAGGTCTGTATTCCAAAGTGTTCATAAATTACAACAATTTAAGTTTGGATAGTGCACTTTCATGCCTATTTTAAAAAATGGGGGGTGACAGTAAAAGGGTTAATTACATTTTAATTTAATAAAATATTATTACAATGTTATTTTATTTTAAATAAAATTTAAATGATTAAATATTGAATTAATTTAAAAACGAATAATTATGAATGAAATTAAACTTAAAGTAAATATTATAAAGAAAATTAAATGAAATGATTACATTTTAAATATAATAATTTAATTTAT